GTTGGAGTTGGAAGGGACTCTACGAAGTTTTGTTCACAACCCAGCATACTTGAGAAACAATATTTAATATACGAAACTTCAAACTGCGTTGTATCAGGAGTGTCAGATGTGGGTGTCAGTGTTTGCATCATTCCTAATGTGAGTCGAATGCTTGGCTCAATCCCAGCAGAATGATCAGCGTCTACCATTTCCTTGGGTCACATCCACTTTCAGAAAGACCTCTTCATGCTAAAAAGGACTTACTCACACGGCCAATTTCTTCGAAAGAAAGCCACTTTATCAAATAATTGATGTGTTTAGTTGTGGTCACGCGTTTCCTTCAAATCTCTCGGAACTTTCTGAGATTGCTGCACAAAATCTTGAGCGACCAAATAATCGGGTTTATCTCTCAGGTGAGCATTGCTCTTCATTCTTCTTTATTGCTACATATTCATATTTTCAAGAATGTCCATAAACCAAAAAACGTTGAGAAGAGCAAAAAGTGTTTTACTGAGGAAGCGATGTCTCCCCCCCCCCTATTTTCAGAGCAAAACCTCAAAACAAACATTGCCATTGGAATTAAGAACCAAAGAAAACTCAAATTCGCCAAAGAAACAGACTTAAAGCTCAACACGCATGTAAGGACCTCTAGAGATGTGAAGCTCAAAGAGAGCCGTCCTCACCTTTTAGTTCTTTAAGGTTTTCCCATCCGGCAGGCTCCCGAATTGATGGAGAGTGGACTCCTCAACTTGTTTCACAAGTATGCTGGGTTGTGAACAAAACTTCCCAGAGTCCCTTCCAACTCCAACTTCCCAGAGTCAGGCGCAGGTTATGGTCTCGCCTGGAGGGACAAAGTCCCCCAGGCGGGACCATAACCCGCACCTCTCGCTCGGTAAGTACTGTATCTCACCATCTCGAAGCGAGCCCTCTGTTTATTGGCCAAAACGGGAGTCGCTCTTGTTCAACGGTCCCCGTGCGAAAGAGCTTCAAACGCCTACTATGGGATGGATACGATACTCTTATGACCGCTGCTAAGTAGCAGTAAAAAAGCGCGCCACTTGCTGGCAGAACCTATGCAGACTAACTCGCGGTTGAAGATCCGAGAGCAGGCCCTTACTTTAACCGGACCTCGCTCATAACGGTAGACCAAACAATTCTTTTTCATGTATCTTAAAAATACCAATGTATAAGTATCTATAGCGTTGAACCTCGCCGCGTTCAGTTATGACGGGTTCATTTTCATATTGTCCAAGTTTCATTATAATTAGGACTTGATTCTTAGCCACCTCCGCTCTTTGTAGAAGCACGCAAATGAAAACAAAAAATCGATCAAATACTCAAAAAGTCAATGCCTACTCTGAACTGTCACTTCATTGTCTCGCCTCAAGCGACAGTTAGTCGGACCTCGTCCTTCGGCAGAGAATCAAGCCTGTACGCAGACAAGTTGGTGTTCAGAACACTCACGTCTTGTAGACTTGGTCCAGCGGTTGCGGCGTTTTCATCGCAGCCGTCATAATGAAGGAAGAGAGTAAATTACCAAACACCTGACCACCGTGCACAATCATGAAGAAGTAGCCAAAGAACCTTAATGGTAGCACCTTCAGAGGACGATGCGAAGTTAGGGAGAGATATCAGTTAATATTAAATGATAGCAAATTCGTCTCAAGAATTGCCACAGTTACACGAGAAATCATTTGTGTTCCAGCAAGGAACAAGGAATTTCAAGGAATGCGAACGGTATCGAGATCGAGAGACGATAGCAAACGTGCGAAACGCAGACACAACGCTGGTTCTTGATTGCTTAAGAGTGTCCATAACTGCGAATCGTAAACACTTCGCTCTCACCACGCATTTTGAACCACTAAGGAAAAGGGGGTGGGAATTGTACCACCGAATAAGATTGTGGATTGTGTAATTGTAGGCGATTGTAGATTGTAGGCGAAGTTGCAAGTGACAAGCTTTTACGTACCTAACGATAACCGTGTTCTGGACTCTCAAAATTCACACGAGCATACCGAATACCCATTTCTGTGATATAAGCACACTTAGCTCCCCATAAACATGAACCTGTAAATGAACGTTCTTAGATTACAAAATTGGAGGCAAGCCAAGTATTTGAAGAAAAAAGTGGAAATCGGCACCCGCAATGCCCCGCAAGAACATAAGCCGGGAACCAGGAACGCAATAGCCTGAAAAAAAACTTCCATACAGATAACGAGGACACATAAGCTACGCCCTCCCCCCATCACATTCTCTAGTGAAGTAGGCAAGCAGTCCAAAATCTTGGGGAAGCTCTACCATCCGTAACTCAGCATCGTCCTCGCTGGTTGCTCGCTCGAAAAGGATCCAACAGAGCGCTCACACGCTTTTGTTTACCTCTGGAGTAATTTGCCACTAATGATAAACCCATCAGTGATCGGCCCGGCAAGTTTTCTCGCAGCTCTCATTCGACAGCGTTGCTTCTACTGCTTCGTCTGGCGGTGATCAGAGTAGTGTGAACAATACCCTTCCGTAGTTTTTTCCTTAGCGATGCCTTATTACGTAATAAACAATTTCTATAGGCTGAAACACGTCCAAGAGTAGAGTACCCAAGCAACTGTATCCTTTCACCCATTCCCTAAAGAGGGTGTTCAACGAGAGAGATTGCACATTTGCAGTAGAAATCGATTTGGTGGGAAGGTCTTGCTACTTGTAATTCCGTTAGCGTTTGATAGCGATTTCATGATCGCAGGAAAGCTACATCACGTTAGTTACTACATCTCCTTATTGCAGATACTTGTGTCTTCGACCAGAGCCCACCGGCGCCTGGAACTGGTGTAAATCCTAGTTTAGCAACACCCAGCTACAGCACAGGGGGGGGGGCAAAAAAAGAGTCACTCTGACTCACATTCAAAACAGAATTGATTAAACTTTGCCGGGAACCGAACCAAATGAGCTCAATTGCATATTGAAAGCACATTCTATTCTATCAGAAAAATTACATAAGGCTTTCTACACCGACGACATCAGAAGGAAACAGGAAACACGACATCAGAAGACATTCGGACAACATGGTTTGCGTAACAGCTCAACGTGGTTCGTCCAAAACCATAAGACGCCATTAAGCGAACGACTCCCAAAGGCGGTAAAAGCCATCTTACTAGTCACAGCTAAGTGTCCCTAACAGCATTCACCAATTACCGATTGAAGAAATTATGTAGCAGCTTCAGAATGGAGCGATTATGGTAGGCCTCCTTGAGCTCGACGGTGATGACAGATGACGTCATATTCTGGAGACGGTGAACGCAGCGAAGGTGGGCCTGATTCTGCTTATGGGGGACATCTAAGGAATGTCGCCGTATAACTCCCAATAACAGCGGCATCCTTTGCGACGAAAAGTTTGATGATATGCGCCATGGGCAAAGTGACTTTTTGCCCCCCCCCTGTATATGCATGAGGATATGATCATGAAATTAATATAAATATATATGGCTATGATCTGGTTTCGTAGCTAATTTCAAGCGGACCTTGTTGATCCTTTCGCTCTGCACGGCTGCCATACCAGCCATTGAATCGACAGATCTCAGTTACTGGGCTTGGGCCAACACCATATTTACCTCTACCACAAGCCGTTCGTTCGGACAACCTCCCTTCGACTTTTACTGTGCTCCCGCCATTTCATTAGGCTTTGCTGTAAGCATTACAAGTATTTAGGATCAAGTGTGACAGTCAATCGCTGGTCCCACAAGGGAGGTCTTTCAGGGCAAGGTGCGCTTTTCAAAACGGTTTTGTGCATATTGTAGGACGCATGTAGGGAACGCAAAACCATGTTTCATTTTCGCTGAACGGATATACCTTAAGGATCCGATCCCCGAGCGATTGAATTTCCATTTGTGTGTGCCGCTTGCGTTGGTGCCAAAAATGCGGCTCAAATATCCCAAAGCGGGTCATCTTACTTAGGGACCATTTTGAAGCCAACAAGTGGCCGCCAACCTTGATTGCAAAATTTAGTCGCCGCGGGGATTGAACCATCAAGAGTATTATTCACCACTTTTTTGGTACTACTAAAACCGTTCAGCGAAAACGAAACATGGTTTTGTGGTCCATACATGCGTCCCTACAACATGTACTAAACCGTTTCCAAAAAGCGCACCTTGCCCTGAAAGACCTTCCTTGTCAGCAATCTGCTAGAGAAATGTCACTAATTTCTGAGAAATACTCGACATAGATTCATTTTGTTATCGAAAACGTGGATTACTGGCTGTGCAAGATCACAAACTTCTTTGACATAAGTAAGAAATTTGGATTTTCTCCGATATAAGCTAAAAAACCCAAGAAACTGTCATTTTTCACCTCTCATTTGTTCCTTATTTTGTTGTCGAAAGCTTCCACATTTTCTTATAGCGTTATTTATGTACCCACTACTAATGAATGGGATGGAACAGAATCTCCCGGCAGACAAAATTCATGGCTGAAAGGGTTAAGATTCGAAAAGTTTCGCGCAAGGATTTTCCATTAACTCAGCACAGGAAACAGGAGGGACTATAAAAATATTCCCGTTAGCTCGCCGCACAAACGAAGCTTTCATCGCGCACGGCCCTATTGGTGTAATAGTTTACGACAAAGACCGATTGACGTCCCCTCATATGGCACTACCAGCCTCTTCTTTCACCTCTCCACTGTCGCTCAGAGCACGCACATCCACCCCCCCCCCCCAACATTTGACCTTATGAAGGCCTTCCCTTACCGCTCCAGCCTGACGCTCCTACATAAACTCTTCAGTCGCTCAACTGATGTGTAAATAGTTTCCTAAAGACTCGTGCGTTGACATAGGACTAGATTCTGGTCAGCGTTTCAGAGAGCGTCGTAGTAGCCCACTATCTTCTTCGTGACCCGTCGTTGAATCGAACCCTGTGTACCATTACCGTAGGAAAGTGTCCTGATGAAGTACAAGACTACCTCCAAAGTTTTCTGATGCAGTGAATATGCCTTTAACCACACCAGTTGGCCATTCAGTTTGATCCAAGAACTTTGTGAAAATTGCAACTCAATATGAGGGTCCGTGACACTTATGTTGATTGAACTTATTGAGGCTAATGCGCCATAGGTCGGTAGACCCATGCAAATGTTCATAAGAACTTATTATGGAGAAACGGTAGGCAAGGCAAAAAATAAGGGAAACAAGGAAGAAAACTGGTCTCTCGAGCTGTAGCACTGCGTTTTTACGGAGTAGTCACTTACCGTGGACGAATATTCCCAAGCCATGTCAGAACACATGCTACTCATATCAACAATCAAAGGAGCTTTACCAGCCACCAGCCGATTGACTGCATCAAGGTAGGCCACACCATCACTGACAACCACCAGCTAACTGACAATAAAGACTCGAAAAGTGCGGCCATATATTTCGAGGATTGAAAAGAGTGCCCAACACTAAGATGATGGCAGAAGTACTTATTTCAACGGCGTGGAGCTTTGTCAAAGATCACACGCGGAAATTGATAGCGCCGTACTTTCCCTAACGGGGTGTCTCTCATTTGCTTGCTTATTACTACCTTCTAAACTGCCCTTCGAATCTGTCGTAACCTCGCGCGCTTCGAGTCAAATGCAGTGCTGTTGTCCATCAGCGTGATCGGCCGCCGTGTCGATCCTGACCCTTAGGCGCTTACAATAGCTATATTTGAGATCCCCCAATCCAATGTATTAGGTTGGCAAGGATATATGTCTGCACCACTCTCGAAGTCTTGATGTTTAAGCTGCTTTATCTTTTTCATCTTACAACCCTGAACCGGGGACAACGTCACACTATTTTGCCAAAGCCATGAGTGTCCACTACATAGCCTTAACACTCAGAAAATTTCTCGATGCTCTCGTTCTAAAACCCGCCGAAGTGCGGATCCATAAACGAGGCGACCTCACTCTCGAGTTGGAGTTGATCGGCTGATTATTTCGTCATGAAGATGATGATTTAAGGTGCCCAGAGAACGGTGCCAACCATAAGCAGTGGACAGGGATTCCGCTAACGGAGAGCAAGAATTTTGCCGCAACTCCAGAATTTCTTGGGGGCTCATTTTGGATCATGGCAATTCGTAATGTCATGAAAAAATAAATATTGTCGCGGTACGGAGGCTCTTGCAAGCTGCCTCGGCCAGCACTTCTGGGGTTCGCAGCATACACCTCTACCTACGCAGTGGTGCCCATAAGAGGAGTTTATGAGCTTTCGTAGGAACCCCTTCCTGACAATGAAGTGGATACCACTACGCTGCTGGCTTCATACAAAAATAATCGAACGAAGCCTCGAAAACTCCGTGGTAACAGTGAACCACGTGTAAGGGGATGACATGCCATTAATGGTAACGTTGCAGATCGGGTCGGTCGTTGACAACGAATCCTATATTTTGGAAACATTAACTAGACAGTTACTCGGAGTCTAAGATTTACTATTGCATAACTACTGACATAGTATGGCATAACTGCAGCACTTATACCACCTCGTGGATTAAAGCCTCGAGAATGCTCTACCATTTGTTAGTCATAAATGTTACCTATGAATTTTTCAGAAAAAAAGAAAATTTTAGAAAGAGTGTTGCAGAACTTTCTTTCCAACCTAATACAGACGCTACACGATTTGGGATCCAAAACCTTATTTCGTCCACAATATTACCCATACCTCTCCTCATTCTGAAAGGCGCGCACACCGCTAGCATGTCCTTTTCCTCAGTTACTCAAAATCTCTTATGTCGCTTCCATTCCTAGATTGGGGGATCGATTTTCCAAGAATTGAGAGTGAAACCACCCCATCTTGGAATTTGGAGACGATAATCATGAACAGCTTCATACTCCCCCACAACGTGCACATAATTTGAATTCGAAGCGCTTTTTTGCTTTTTGCTTATGATGGGGAGGACTAGGTGCAGTGGCAGGTGGCGCTTGGTTGCCACGCCCACGCTCCGGGGATCAAATCACGCCTTGTACACCGTCCAAGCCAATGAGCCTTTCATCGTTCACGGTAGGATGACTGTAAACGCGAAGTTGTATTGGAAAGATACAACATGTCTGTTTTCAACTTGGCCCGCCCCACCAGCCCCGATTGGGCGCAAGGCAATCCCATGAAACCCCGTGGTCTGCAATTCCGAAAGAATGCGCATGGCATGTTCGAGGTATTTGTCAAGCGTGATGCTGTTAACGGTATAGTGCTCTGGCGGACACAGAGGTGATCGCGCACGTATTAGATATAGGAGTACAATAGTATAAGTTGTTCAGTGATGTACTCATTCCGGAGATGCATTGGCAAACAGGGGAAAAAAAACTTTTATGAGATTTACAGCATTCACTTCCAATTCGTGACAACAGAATAGCTGCAAGATTATCACATGAATTTGCCTCAGGCGTGAATGATAGTTTATAGACATCACGAGGTGCAACTCGACGGTGGTACTCAGAGTTCACGAAAAGTTTCGGACCGGTTCTTGTAACGATTTTCCGAAATCTCAGTTGTAGTATATTTAAGAGCGCAAGCGTCGCTCTTTAACATATGAATAACCAACGCCCCTCGACTCTTCCATGCAAAAATATGGGCTTCTAATGAGTCAGTTTATCTAATAGCCGTTTATAGCGTGAAACATGCCAATGAGCTACAGGAATATACATCCACACGCTCCACCTCCACAGAAAATTAATGAAGGTAAACTCACGCTAGGCTATCGGCTCCTAGTTCGTTGTTCACTGATGTTTGAAGATTTGAAAGACCATTGAAAGCAGAGAAAAGGAAAAGAAAAGCCACCGATAAGATGAGAAGGTTGGCCTGAATCAGATCCAATTATTTAAGTTTGATTCGCATCAAGTAGTTTTTTCAAGGGTACGATCTAGGCAGGAGTCATGTGGATCATTCCCTTACCGGTAGAAAAAGCCCAACAATCACAGCTGTGTCGCTCCTGTGCATGGGATTTACAGACAGGGAGCGCTAGGGTTACGCGAAAATAGCTGCAGCAACTGCATTGTCGTTCGCAGAACTGTTGTGTGGCGCTCTTTCATCTTCCTTTCATCATGTCTGAACTTTCATAATTCCAACGTCAGAGCCATGTCACAAGTCAAAGACGTTCTCTTCACGTCGATGAAGCGAAGCACAGATTCGCCGGCACCTGATGAGGAGAGATGACGGACGATGGAGTTCGGCTACTGTGCGATGGTACCCGCGCGAGAAGAAACGGCCGCAAGGCCGTCCTCCTTTACGATGGGCAGATTCCCTAGCTCATCGAAACAACATCTATGATCCAGAGTCCTTTAGGGTGACCACACACTGGACAACCATAGCCCAAGATCGAGAACAATGGAAAAGAAGTTGGGACCCGCGCAAGGCCAACCGCCGTGCTGAGGGACGGGACTAAGTATTCCAAGTAAGTAAGTACATCATGCTCTCTTTTTCACGCTCGGTCTATCATTGCTTTTGCACAGCCGTATTAGGAAGATGAGCAAACCCTCAATTCAAGTTCATATTCATGTGCGAGAACCAGTAGTCTTGGTGCACGCCCTTGAAGAGGTCGGAAACCGAAATCAGACATTGCTTGAGAAAACGATTGGGTAATGTAAAGCCTTCAAATGTTCAGAGAGAATGAGGGCTCAGAGATGAAGGCGCTAGTTGAGCTGTGGGTATTGGGACACCTTGTGAGTAATGGGCCTTTTCTTTCATTTCAAGCATTGCGAAGAGGTATGGAAGATCCAAACACCTGTATCCAGTCTAGTAAACAGTGTACCAGTCCAGCTTATTTTGTGCTTGTGTAAGGAGAGCTTGTGTAAGGCCATTTTATTTTTCAAAACAACAGCAAGGTAATGAGGAAAAATGAGAGAAAGAGCTCCTAAATGCGAGTTCGTGGGAATGAAGGAAAAAATGAACAAGAACGACTTGTCGAACTAACCTTAATCTTTTGCATAGTTTTGGCAACTTTAATTTTCTCGTTACCACTCAGCATTGCACGCTTTTTCTTTCGGATGATTTTTGCAAGAAAATCTTGACTGAAATTGATAAATCGTTTTGTTGTCACAAAAATCAATCCTTTGCTCTAAGCTGACATCCATAACTAACTTGTATAGATATCCGGCGCTTTCTGGCATCTCGTCATGGTCTACACTGGTCATCAAATGCTGCATGGTGACGAGGTGCTGGCGTCGAGCGAATCGCCGACGGCTGCCATGTACAGGACAGAATGGGTCGTATTCGGGCAGACGAGCAACCTAGGAGCATTCCTGTTACTGAATGGTTTCCTAAGAGGTAGGGAAATTGTATGTTATGAGCAA